TCTGGGGAGGGAAGAAGGGGAAGAAGTCTTTCTCAGTCCCCAAATAACTGAGTTTTCTTTTACTCAAGGCTGCAGCAAATTGGCGTGCTCTTCCCCTTGTGTGGTGTTGGGTTTCTTTTTTTAAGCAGTACTGGGCAGTATCTTGCTCTCAGGAATTGATGTTGCAGGACAATGGGCATGAAGTTTACAGAGGAATTACACAACCTGAGCTCAGGGTGTACAAACAGAAACCTGAGGACTGAATCTTCCTTTTGTTGACTTACATGGAGAACAGTATCGGGATGAGAATAGTCCCTTCCTCATCTTGGCAAGGGTTCCTTCAGTCGGGTTGACACTGCTTTTTTTTAATGGAGATTTCTCAGAGGACTCTTCTCTGAGAGGTTAGAGCTATACCTTAGGGCACAATTCTAACTTAAGACCTCTCTTTTTTTCACTCCATAGGCAAAGTGTTTTCAGGCATAACAAGGTTGCAGAAGGCCTTTGCATGCATTGAAGTATCTAGCACAGTTGGACTCAAAGTTATTTTTCTTTTGCAGCTGCAATTGCCTTGGCAAACTGCCTGATTTGGAGTGGGTTTCTATAAACATGCCAGCACAGCTGGGATTTATTATAGGATAGACAATCTTTTCTACCTCTTCAGCTACAAAACCTCAAAATAAGTGCCATCTTTGCTACCTTCCTTTAGATGAGGCTTGTTCATAGTTGGCAGTAACCAAAACTGAATTTTTGCATCCATATTCAGAAGGAATTGCCTTTCCCCTTGCTACCCTACACTGACCTTAGTCTCTACAGACTAAGTATGATATGAGGATGGGAGAAGAGAAGAAAATGAAAGAATTCTCAGCTCTGACATAATTCAAACTGCTTAAAAACAAAATTAAGGGAATGGTGTACTGGGCTTAAGTTGATCAGACTGGTATTATCAAGGGAAGTGCCTGTCTCTGTAGTGTAAAAGGGAAAGTAGATTACTTTTTATGGTAGGGCTGAGGAAAGTAAGCTCTAAATGCTACTGAATCCTTTGGAAATCTTTGTTGTAAACATCATTATAGCATTATTTTCTTCTTCCCTTTCTTGAATCTCTGTTTTTCTATCTGAGCCAGCTGACAGTCCTTAATCCAATCCCTTTTCTTAAACATCAGATCTCTCAAATGTTTTAGAGTGTAGGTTCAGTTAATGTCTGTGAAGACATACAGCAAATTAATTAACCCTTTGAATGTCTTTCTCCCCGATTATAACCAACATTGCATATTTTTAAATTAATGGATATTGGTAGTACTTATGCCAACAGAGGCATCTTCACAGCTAAAGGGAATGTTTCCTGTAGGTAAATTACTCTAAGGTTTAAAGGAACCAGAACAAACTGAAGTTAATGCATATAGTTAATCAGTTATCTCCTGTACTTTTTTGTGGTGTATTTTTTTTATAGGGAATCATGACAGAGCAACATCAAACCATTTCATAGCTCCAGTGAAATGGGTTCCTCTTGTCTCCTATGGTTCACAGAGTTTTGAAATTCCCAAAGGAAGATACATTGTAGCAAATAAAATTTAGTTGCCACCTTTCATATTTGTATTACTGCCCAAGCATTTTTGTATGCTCTGTTACAAAGAGATGAACCACCTCAAATCAGAAAAAGGGGTTAGTGATCCACTTAATTTTTCTCAGCTTCAGTGGTTGAGTAACACTAAAGCTCAGATATTTCAAGCCTACACAGTGCAGCAAGGATAGGAGGTGACTAGAATAAACTGTCAAGCAAGTTAAAGTCTAGTATGAAAATAAAAACATTGGGGTTATCACCAGAGCCATGAGTCCCTGTAACCTCATGCCTCCCTTTCAGACTCTGTACAGCCTAATTACAGTTGTGCAAATGATGTTTATTTTATTATGTACATGTGTAAGGGGAGAAGTGCGGAGAGCTCTGCGTCTTGGATGGTGGAATGCTCCCTGTGGGCTTAAATAGTACAACAACTGCTTTTATTAGTGGTGTTGTATCAGCAATAGTGTGCAGATATTATATGTTAATGTTGTATAATAAGACCCAGTAACCTCCTTTAAGAGTTTTCTCAGAAATGTGAAGATACTTCTGTTTTTAACAGCACAGGTGATGCAGACTGATCCTGAGAAAAGGGATTAGGGTTTAAACCACTGTGTTTAGAAAGGAAGTATTCTAGGCGAACTCAGAACCCAAGTGCTTAGGTTGCAAGGGAGAAAGGCATCAGGTCTCATGAAATGCCTGGGGCACATCTCACATTGGTCTCTCTTCCTTGTCATTCCTCTGATGGTGGTTAGCTTGGTCCTCAGCTATCCTGAATTATAACTGCTGGGACCATTATTAGAAAAGTGATCTCAAAAGTATTCCTTAGAATTTGCTATGTGGCATAAGAAGTGAAAATAAAATGCCTGGAAGAGAGCAAACAGCTGAAATGAGCTATAGCTTGCACCTGAGGGGTATTGTACATCTTATCTGAGCCACACAGTGACAGTCATCAGAGAAGCTGTTATAATGGCTGTAACTAATGACAAGAGAAACAGAGCTAATGCCATTTTCTTGCACTGTTCTTTAGTCTCAGGAGTTCAGGGCTCCTAGGCAGTTTAATAAGAAGGGTTTATCAAGCAGAATCCTGAAGAATTTGGTGACTGCAGTGGAAACAGGGAAGTGCTGTTTCTAAGTTCTGCTATTCCATGTTTGCTTTGGACCCCAGTGGTTAGCAAATGTTAATCTCACCCATATGTTTGGCAGCTGACACATGCTGCACTCTGTTCTTTCTCTGAGGAGTGTGCAAGATGCAAGACACACTTCAATTAAAAAATGAGAGTTTAATGTGGGTATTTTTAGCAAAGCAAACCAAATAAGAGAAAATATTTGTAATACCTTGTAGTGCTTAATTTCTTTAAAAACTAACGAAAGTTTTGGCTTCCTGTAGTGACAGAAAAGTTTGGACAACTTTAACCCTAAAGGCTCAATTTATCCCTTGATTATTATGCTAACAAAATAACATTTTGGATGAAAAACCAAACTAGAAATTATTACTGCCGGAGATGCACAGAAATGGGATATGAAACTTGAGTCTGCTGGAGCTGGGTTTGGAATGTGTGCTACCACTATGCTGTAAAAGGCCAAGCAGTCAACTGCTTTCAGCCCCTGCAAGAGGCAATTGGGTTGGTTTACCTCAGCTGAAGTTCCTGTTAACCATTCCATATCTGAGCATCCAGACAGACTAAATGAATCTATCTGGGATGCAGATGAGTATCCAGTCCGTGGTCAGTTTTCCTCCTAGGCACCATCTTGTTATTCAGAATTGTATTAAGGTCTGTTAAGAAGCTTTGAAAGGCCTGTACATTTTCTGACAGATGTAAGAAATATTGTCAGAAGAACAGTGTCATGTAATGATCAGCCACTTGTTTCCCAAGAGGCATTTAAGATTTCTACCAATTGTTACTTGACAAGAAAAATCTTCTGCCAAAAATACCATTGTCTTAAGAGAAAACAGCAGGAACCCCACACATTACATACCATGAGCTGACTTCAGGCTGCCATTTGCTAAACCAGCCCAGGAGAACAGACTTTCAGCCCATCACTGAGGTGGTTCTTTTCTTGAAAATAAGTTCAGCTGGCACTAATTTGTCACAGCCCCATCAAAGGGAAGACTGAGAGGTTTTGACATGCCTGTGATGTGTAGCCAGGCTTGAATTGCGATCTTGGTATTTTAGGATCATAACCTATAATTATCAAGGGGTAATGGGAACCCATGAGGTAAGGAGCAGAGATGCTTATTCTGCTGCTGATAACAAACTGGAAAGACTGTAGTAAATTTGGAGCCTCGTGCCATTTTGAGGTGAGATGGAGTTATTTATTCTGCATTCCTAGTACTAGTGTTTAAATTAAGAGCTTTTCTTACACTGTGAAAGAGCAGAATGTCTTACTACTGTCTGCTTTTCCATCCTCTCAACCAGTTAGGAAAAGCAACGATTAACTCAAGAGTGTAATGAGTCATCATTGGGTTGAAACCACTAGGTTCTATATCAACTATGGGACAGGCAGATTACCTGTTTTCCAAGTGTTGCTTGGGAGGTTCTCTCTGGGGCTGTGAGGCCACATACAGATCCCTTGAGGAGAACACCATTTACCAAGGATTTCTTGGTGACAAACACAATACTACTACACTTTGGCTTTCCCAAGTTCAGTGATACTTAGAGGTGCTTCTTTTTGTGCCTTGATCTACAGGTTATCATGGGGAAAGACACAGAAGGGGCCAAGCTAGTGAGCAGCAGGGAGATACCACAGGAAGAGCCAACTATACTTCAGTAAGAATCTCCATGTACATAGGGATGGTGCCAGGAGGAGCAAGTGGTTCGAATAAGAGTGAGATAAATGAGAAAGATGAGAGCTAGAGAATGAGATACACTTCACAGACATGTATTTTCTGGCTTCTTTGGTGCTGGATGGCAGGGGTCATTCAGTAATTAATGGTGTTGGTGGAGGAGGGTTTCCAGTATGTCAGCCAAGGGACTGGCGATGCAGGAAGCTCAGAGTTCTGGTGTCAGTAGCATAATTTCCTGCTGCTTTTCTTGATGAGTTGTTGTTTTTTGTTGTTGTTCTGTTGTTTGTTTGTCAAAGCCTTCCCTGTAACACTTCCTCCTTTTTTGAGTTTATTACCTGCCCCAATGCCCAGTAAGTTTTCCAATGTTTAATTCATTACAGTTCTCAAGGATCACCTTCAGCTGAGAGTAGAAGTAGGAACTCTGGCAAAAAAATAATGGCAAATCCTGTGGTGTTTTTTTTTATAAGGCAATACACTCTACCTGTAAGAACTTAAAAAATCCTGCATTCTCTGACTTTCAAATATACTCAGTGCCAGAAGGCTTTTGAACTTCCTGGTACGGAAACTCCACATTTCATGGGAATAGGATGCAGAACAAGTGTGGAGAGGAATAGTTGGAAGGATACCGTGATTAGCTCTGGAATGGATTCTCCAGTAATTTCTGGTTTGCTCTGTTAGGACCTCTGTGAAGACCCACATCTGTTTGTGAATGGAATCAGTTCCCATGACTTACACCAAGGCACCCTGGGGAACTGCTGGTTTGTGGCTGCATGCTCCTGCTTGGCTTTGAGGAAGACCCTCTGGCAGCAGGTAGGTGATCCATGTACTTTGTGCATGAAATAAAGCTAATAAACCTTGGTTGTTTCCCTGCCTATCAGTTACTGTTTTTCCCTCTAGGACTAATGTGTCTCTGATGAGTGGTGAATTTTGGTGGCTTCAAATGTTCCTTTTCTTTAGAAATTCATTTTTCATGTTATGAAACCTCCTCACTCCACAGTCCCATTGAGCACCAAAGAAGAGATACAGTAAAGCCATGGAGTGCAGTAGGTTCTGTTTGTCTTTCTCTGCAGATCATTTAAAATGTTATTTTCCTCAAAGTTTCTTTGAAGTGAGACTAAATTCAACTTTGTGCCAAATTCACCCTCTTTTTTCACTTCTTCATCCGTCTAAGGTCAACTCATGAAGCTGAATATCAGTACAGTGCATGTCCAGGGCAGTCTGCCCTCTGGTTAAATCTTCATGTTGCACGTTTGGTGAGCTTTTCTTTGCATGGCTTCTCAGGTGATTCCAGACTTCAATGAACAAGAATGGGACCCTAAAAACCCAGAGAAATATGCTGGGATTTTCCGTTTCCGTTTCTGGTGCTTTGGAGAATGGACAGAAGTGGTGGTTGATGATCTGCTGCCAACGATGGATGGGAGGTTGATCTACTGCCATTCCAATGTGAAGAATGAATTCTGGAGCGCATTACTGGAGAAAGCTTATGCAAAGTATGACCTAGTTCATTGTTGTTTCAGTCCTCAGTGTTGTCCCTCTCATCCACCTGTTTTTGTCTTTCAACTCTATTATACTTTCCATAAGTTTAGATTTGCTGCTAGTAGACAACTTAAAAAAAATATTGAAAATGCCTCCTTTAATCTCCGTGGAGGAGTTCAATGTGATCTACTTCAGCATATTAAAGCCTTAAGGATCATTTCTCTCCTTTGCTAGAAACCCAGCAAACCCATCTGTAATCTGCTGCTTTGTTTTGTTTTGGTTTTTTTTTTCCTTGGTGAGACACAAATATATTACCTACGTTCAACCCAAATTAGAGCACTTCTAGCATCCGTATGGTGACTGAGAGTGTTCTGTGTTACCTCCAGGCTGGCTGGATCTTACGAAGCCCTAGATGGGGGCAGTGCTGCAGATGCAATTGTGGATTTCACTGGAGCAGTGGCAGAATCTATTGATTTGGTACATGGCAAATATGGTGAGATTATTTCTGAGCAGATGAAGCTGTTTGAAGACTTGCTGAAAGTGCATAAAAGAGGCGGACTGATCAGCTGTTACATCGCGGTATGAACAGTGAGATGGATTTTAGGAGTTAATGCAAAAAATTTACAAAAAATATCATTATTAGTATAAGTATACTGAGTGTGTCCTTTATTTGTGTGCTTTGGAAAAGCTTTGTATGGAAAAAGCTAGCAAGTTGTCAGTACTGTTAGCCAAGTTCAACTCTATGAGCCACTAAATACAATCACAAAACCACAAAGCCATTCTTGCTGCCACTTTACTGTGGATCTGAAATGCTATTCTTTCCAAATGGTCACATTTGTGTATTGACCCAAGGTTAATCCACCTAGAATGCCCCAATTTACAGGCCAGATGGCTGTGTTCAGTTTCTTTATTTTTTAGGGAAATCTGTTTACAGAAAATAGTTCAGCTGGCATGGAGCTGCTGGGGCTTCTTGGCTTTGGTAGTCATCTGATGTAGTCATCTGGTCACTGTAACACTAAGCTGAGATGAAAGGCTGAGCTCACTTGGTTATTGAGCAGTACTGTTTGTTAATAAGATTCCCCATTAGAATTAACCTTCAAAACTTGCCTGTGCTGGCTAGTGTGAGGCAGTTACCTCAGGTGCCTACGTTAGGAGGCCATGACCCTGAAGTTCCCTTAGGCAGTAGAGAGGGGATGGTTTCCCCAGGGGTGATACAGGGCTGCCTTCTGTGGCAGCGTTACCTCTCTGGATTCACTTGAAGCGCTAGAAGCAGGTGAGTAGCAGCCCCCAAAGGATGCTGTATACTTCATAAGCCACTGGCAGACAAGGGCCCTGCACAGCCCCTTGCCACAGGAAAGAAACCAGTGACAACTGGGCTTAACTCCCCTTCCACCACAGTCTGCAATGTCTGGCCATGACTGGGGTAGCACTGAAATTCTCAATTTTCTGAAGCTCTTATTGCAGACAGAGGTCTAACAAACTGCCATGGCACTTAAATATTTCCTAAAGATGGCTTTTAAGTACTTTTTAAAGTGCAGTCTGTGGGAAGGTGGCCATTCTCTAGAATTTGTACAGGTGGCATCTAGAGTCACTTCAGCATCTTACTTCCAGGTCCTCTGCTTCCAGCTTTAGACCTTAGCTAAGGCTAATCTTATGTGGACTTAGTTAAATCACTTCAACATTTTGTTTTAATTTTTCCAAAGGCAAAGAGGTCTTGGTGAGAGTCTCACAGTTGCCAGACCATCTGTCAGTTCCAATTTGATATAAAAATTGATTTATATATTTTATTATTATATTTGGGGACTGAACATTGTCGTATCAGTGCAACATCTGCCTTACAAGAAGGACCCTGTCTGTTTTGACCAGAGAAATTCTGAAAACTTTAGAAGTATCAGAGTGCATTCATAACTCTAATAACAGAAATGGGCACCGGACCCACTGGCTAAATCCATAGTGTCCTGTTGAGGACAGCACCAGACAGTGCTGTGTCTCAGCAGAGTCATCAATATCCACAGACCCGTTTGGTAAAGATGACAAGATTTTGGGAGGGCTGATAAAGGTTGTCCATCAGCCTTTAACTCCCTGAAGCCAGGAGAAGACCAAATAGGTGTAGTAGTTGATATTGTCCTATGCTCTGGGCTTCTGTCTGCTAGGATGTGTCTGGTGCTATCATGCAGAAGACCAGACTTGGGAGACATGAGTTTTAAGCCCCAATGCTGCTGTTGTCCTGCATAGTCAAATCACTTGGGAAGGGATTTTCTGTGAAAGAAAACAAGCCTTCCCTGTGCTGCCCCTTGAACATGTATCTGTCAAGTGCCCTCAGTGATGTAAATTCTGTTGGTTTTTTTTGTGTTTGTTTGTGGTTTTGTTTGTTTTGTTTGTTTTTGTTTTGTTTTATTCTTGGTGCTAAAGGCTTCCTCTGGCAGTACCTATGAAGGGGAGACACAGATGGGTCTTGTCATTGGTCATGCCTACTCAGTGACTGCAATTCGGAAGCTGCGCCTTGGAGAAAGGCTCACCTTCTCTTTTAAGGCAGAAAAACTGTTTATGATCAGGCTGAGGAATCCTTGGGGAAAAAGAGAGTGGAATGGTGCCTGGAGCGACAAGTAAGTGCTGCAAATCCAGTGTCAAAGGGATGAAACTGAGTAGGGTGCCTGGACGCCAGATGCATGGTGCAACACCATGAGACACAACATCAGGCTGCAGCACTCAGTGGTGACTGAACTGTTGTGCCATCTCTTCCCAAGTGTAACATTCTTTGAGCAAATGAACACATCCTGGAGGAGCCAGGGGGTTATGGCTTCCTGAACATCAGTTTCCTGTGTACATCACTGATCTGACACGCTGGAGCATGGGTAGAAAACTAGCCTGTGGTTCAGGTGGTGAGTCAAGAACATGAGGTTTGTTCCCAGCCTCACCACTGACTTTGTGACAACTGCTAGTTACTGGGGATGGTCCAAGTCTTTTCCTCTTAGATAATTTAAGTGACTGGTGGAAAACGCTTTAAAATTGCCATGTCTGTGATTTCTTGAATTATTTTCTACTGAATTTCAGGGTGGGGCATGAGATGAGCAGGCACCCCTGCAGAAATACTATTTCTGGAGGGGATGTATTCCATCATTGGCAATTTACACATGAAAAACATTTAACTGGGATGTTGCTGTTCAGCACTGCTTACCAGCTACTGTTAGCTTTTAATAATGCAAGACTCTTAACAACAGCATATAAAGTTCTTAACTTCCATACTTCAGCTAACAAAAATCTATTCCCTTCAAAGAGTTTGGTTTAGTTAATATGTGAAGAATGTGCAGAAGAGCTACTGTGTCTAACTTAAGCCTCTGAGGTTCTCCACTAGCCCTTGCCTTGGCAGAGCTGCTACTAATTCCAGTGGAAGCACTGAGGACTATTAAGGTGGTCTTATGGGTTTTGGCCTAATGGAATTAAATTGAGGGTTTACAGATAGGTTAAGAAAATGTTTGTTATGGCAAGTAACCTTCCTTCTCTCCTGCTAACTACCTTCAACTTTATCCTCCAAATACTTTTGGAAAGGGAGTAAGGAGTGGTGGCTCTGTTGGTCTAATGTGACATGTTAGGGAAGGGGCTCCTTTTCTGATTACATTTAGGATCCTGTGCTCCCCTGCAGTCAG